CCCCTGGCTAACTCGAGAAGTAGAGGAAGCACAGAGGGGAATAAGACAAAAACTGATTACTGCCCGCAAAAAGAAGACTGATGCCCTGTGGCTCGCTCTTAGAGAGAGCAACAAACAATACAACCGACTTATAACCAACTCCCAGCGTAATGCTTGGAGAACTTTTTGTCAGGAAACAGAGTCTGTTAAGGAATCCGGAAGGATGAATAAGATTCTGAAATCCTGTAACGACAACAAACATACACTAGAAGCCGTTTACAAACCAAACGGAGACCTCACCAAAAATGCAGAGGAGACATTGGAAGTCATGACACGAACCCACTTCAAGGATAGTGTCACTGATCCGCCAGTGCCTCCACCTGGTCCTCTACCAATCACCACCACCTTACTCAATACCATCTACAGCCCAGACAGAATCGAGGAGGCTCTTAAATCCTTCGATCCGTTGAAAGCTGCTGGACCCGACACCCTCAAACCTATCATCATACAGAAAGCTTGGACACACATCAAAGACATCACCAGAACCATTATGACAAAAAATCATGAAACCCAACACATTCCAACTTTGTGGAAAGAATCCCTTGGAATCTTTCTCCCAAAGCCTGGAAAAACTGACTACAACCAACCAAAGTCATTTCGCACTATCACCCTTTCTCCAGTGATGTTAAAACTACAGGAGAAGGTGATACTGTGGCATATGCAACACGACCTTAATATCGCTAAAGACATCAACAAACGACAATTTGGCTTTAAGAAAGGATGTTCAACCGAAGCAGCCCTTCATAAAGTTACTCACACCATCGAGCGCAGGATAGCTAAGAAGGGATATGTCCTAGGCGTCTTTCTAGATATAGAGGGAGCTTTTGATAATGTCTCTTTCAAGGCTATTTCTGACGCTATCAAGACCACGAAAGTGGATCTGGCCACAGCACAATGGATTATCAACATGGTAACTAACAGATTCATCACATTAAATCATAAGGATAAGTCGACAAGGGTTCGGATCCGGAGAGGGTGCCCTCAAGGTGGCATCCTTTCCCCTTTCCTCTGGAACCTGGTAGTCGATGATCTCCTGGCCTACACCGCAAGAGACATACCAGGTTATCTGCAAGCTTTTGCAGACGATCTGCTCTCTCTAGCGGAGGGGAATGATTTAGATATCATCTGGAACAGAACACGCAAAACCATCAACACAATAGAAAAATGGTGCCAAACCAAAGATCTATCCATAAGCGCACTCAAAACTCAAATAGTCATGTTTACCTGGAATAAGAAATGGACACTAAGACCTGTGGTGGTGGGTAACACCACTATAGGTCTTTCCAAATCTGCCAAATTCCTAGGAGTGACCCTCGACAGCAAGCTCAATTTCAATGAACATATCACCAATACCACCAAAAAAGCTACGGCATCCCTTATGCAATGTAGAAGAGCTGTCGGCCCCACTTGGGGTATGAGCCCTAAAACATGCAAATGGATGTACACCGCTGTCATCAGACCTATTCTATCATACTGCTGTAGTATATGGATTAGAGCAACTCAAACAGACACCAACGCGAGGAAGTTCAAACGAGTTCAGGCATTGGCATTGAGAATGATGTCTGGTGCCATGCCTAGTACTCCCTTCATCGCACTGAACCACCTCACTAACACTCCAGATATCATACTTTTCCTGAGAGGTGAAGCAGCAAAGGGCACAGCCAGGCTTCAAGCCTATGGAAGCCTAACCCTCGAAACTATCGCCCCCAGAAAAGGTACCATCACAACTCACACCACTATCAACAAACAATTCATGGTAGATCTCAACATACCACTCAAAACAGAGAGAGACCTATCTATACCAACCATGATGCTTGAACGACGCTTCACGGTCACCACTCCTGGAGCTGACAACATTGGATATAGAGGCTCACTCCAAAACACCATCGACAACATCCCCAGTGAAACCATCACCTGCTACACAGACGGGTCACGCACAGACTCAGGTAGCGGGGCTGGTTATATTATCACCACAGACAACAACAACACTACACTAGATGAAAGATCATTCAAGCTTCCCGATTATTGCACCGTATATCAAACAGAACTCACTGCCATCATCGAAGCTTGTAAATATCTATCAACTTACACAAACACACATATCATCATATGGTCAGACAGTCTCTCTTCTATTCAAGCCATATCCTCACCTTCAACGAGGAGTAGGACTACTAGAGACTGTTACGACACCCTCAATACACTCGGATCCACTAACACCTTAGAGATCAGATGGATAGCTGCACACATTGGATTGTGGGGTAATGAAAAAGCAGACGAGCTGGCCAAAAATGGTACAACCAGTGAATCCACTTTGAATTGCCCAATTCCACAATCCTACATCAAACGCCTGATCAACGACAAAGTCACAAAACTTAATCAAGAATCATGGATTACTGATGGTCCCAGACACACTAAACTGACACTTGGACATAAAAACATCAACATCATCAAAAATCTCAACACTACACTCAGTAACAACAGACAAAATTATAGAACTGCAGTGCACCTCATCACGGGACATTGTGGCCTCAACAAACACCTACACACCATTCGCAAATCAGACACAAGTGCTTGTCCTAAATGCGGCGACGAAGAGGAGACTGTCTCACACTTTCTCGGACAGTGCCCGGCTATTGCCCAAATAAGAGGTCAATATTTCCGGGACTACTACCTCTCTGTCAATGACATATTCGACAACCAACACATCTCCACCATTGTCAACTTTACAAACCACACTAAACGCTTAGTGGTGCCAGAGGAGTTGGACCAGACAGGTGTAACATAGCGACTATTTTAACGCCGTCTTATTTCGCCTCTCTCTTCCACACTCAACCACCACTTAAGCGTTTATCCATGACACACCCCACAACACTTACCATCATCCTTGATTACACATCTTGATTCCACTGGCATCCTCCCACAGGACTGCCATACCCCAGAGGTAGGCAAAGCATTCATATGCTATCCTCTCGTGGGCCAACCAGGCCCAGCCTCTCTAAAAAAAAAAAAAAAAAAAAAGGCCGGCGATGGAAGACAGTTCATTGATTTTGTTCCTGCTGGGAGGAGAAAAGCAGGTAAAGACGACCGGAAGGAGAGTCGTGGTTTCGGGATCCTGAGTGGGTATCGGGATTGGATAGTGCTGTCAGACCTTGAGGAGCAGCTTAAGTTTCCCAGTGAGATTGTGGAAACACGGCTGAGGCCGGACCTTGTGATATTCTCAAGGTCAGCAAAGACAGTTATTTGGTGGGAGCTAACAGTACCATCTGAAGAGCGGATCGCTGAATCGCACGAGTACAAACTCGACCGATACAGTGGTCTGCAGGCTGAGATTCAGGCGAAAGGTTGGTGCTGTTATAATGCCGCAGTCGAAGTTGGAGCTAGGGGAGTGGTTGCGCAGAGTTTGGAGAGAGCTGCGAGGAGGATTGGTTTTAGGGGAAGAGAGCTGAAGAAGCTGGTACGGGACAGTGGGAAAGAGGCAGCCATAAACGTTATCTCGTCGCCAATTGCAAGCTCTAACGGGTCTCCTCAAGTGACTCTCGGATCAGATGGTGGTTCAAGGGTGGACTGCTGGGGCGCCTGACAGGAAACCGTATTGCGATTAAAGCCCCGAAACGGTGTCAGGTTGGTAACTGATGATTCTGATCCATGCTCCTGTGAGTTTGCTGTTGTATCTCAACTCGCTAAACTGAGGCATCTCCGCATCTTGGGTGAATATGCGTACATCTTCATACTAAACCCAGGTGTGGCATGTGTCAGTGAATACGGGCGAGCGGATGCAATAGCGAAGGTGGTGTGGCAAGGCCTAAAAGACACAGTCAGATAGTTGTCAGCTCGCTGACTGTAAGGGAGAAGGTATATCCGTATTTCGCTGCTACTGATGCAGTCCTTGATCTGGCAATCAAGGCTTCTCTGTTTTTCGTCTAACTATGTACCGTTGGGCTTGTGGAACCCGTAAGGGGGACATACATAGGTTAGAATGGTTTTGTGCACCAAGAGGAGTGAGGGAATGTGGGTTGAAGAGAGAGAGCTTGAGAGTTGTTAGGGTGGTTAGGATCAGTAGGTGGAGTGTTTGGTTGGAGCCTTCTGTTTTTGCTGTATAGCATTTTAGTCACTCCGCAGTTTATTAACTGTGTCTCAACTCTGTCGTTCTTAAGCTAACTAGAAGTAAACTTGAGGAAATATTCTTTGGTGATTGTATATAGTTATTTAATAAACTTTTATTTGGTTGTTAGTATTTTCAGATCTCAAGGCAACTGTTGTAAACTTCAGTGTTCTTTAGTGAATTTTCCACTTCCGCTGTATTAGGATGTAATCAATCTGACCATCAGATAAATAGGTTCATTTGTTGACCATTCCAATTGGGTTATGAATGGTGAACTGTTTCCTTTCAGGATCAGTTTGCTTGTATGAATCCAATTGTGCAATTAAAAAACACTACCACACTGGGCCGCGCCATGCAGTCAAACCTTCACTGAAATTGGGCAATTTTATTTATAAAATTATTTCTTTGAACTGGTGATATAAATATTCAAACTTATTGTGTAGTGGTTGTGGGTACAAAATAAAATATTTGTTTTACTAAATTCTGTTTACTGTAGACATAATGTAAAGGTAAAATCAGCATGCAAAGGTTTTGGCTTATTGCTAATCACTTAGAACCATTAATCATAGCGGAATTCCAGCTGTTCTAACAGAATTTTAAGATAGGCCTTTAAAAGTTTTTTATTCGATTTTGAAAATCTTGGACCAGGAAAAATCATCAAAAAACAAGGTCCAAGATCATCAAAATCTTAACTGGCTGTTTGCACATAGCTGTTCTAACACCAATACCAGCTCAGGATGTTGATATTTAAGAATTCTAAAATTAATCCCATAATCAGATTTGATTACCTAATTGACTGAGAAATTCGAGTTAATTTCTATGTGTATCATTGCATTGTACTAATCTAAATCTTAACAGGATGTCATCCCCATTCCATCCAGACGATGAAAATGGTGTAGGAAATGTTGCTGAAGAGCGCAGCCCTCGGAGGGAGAAGAAAGAAAAGAAGAAAAAGAAGCACCGATCTCGATCTCGATCCAGAAGTCGCCGGCACAGATCCAGATCAAGAAGCAGAGAGAGACGGAGGTCTAGAAGTAGGTCAGCAGACCGGAAATCTAAGAAATCTCGCAGGAAGAAGCCTTCACAGTTCTGGGATGTTCCTCCACCAGGTTTTGAGCACATAACTCCCCTACAGTACAAAGCCCTCCAAGCTACTGGTCAGCTCCCAGTGGCAGGTGCAGCGCTGCCTCCGTCCATCCTGCAAATGGGTGAAAATGCCACAGCTTCTGTGTCAGCTGCAATAGCAGCAGCTCCAATGGCTCAATCCCACATAACACGTCAGGCTAGGCGTCTTTACCTTGGTAACATTCCATTTGGTACTACAGAGGATGCGATGACAGAATTCTTCAACAAGCAGATGAGAGATTGCGGCTTAGCATGTGCTGCTGGTGCTCCTGTAATTGCTACACAGATAAATTTTGAAAGAAATTTTGCCTTCTTAGAGCTCCGATCAGTGGAGGAAACAACCAATTGTTTAGCCTTTGATGGTATCAACTTTATGGGACAAACTCTCAAAATACGGAGGCCTAATGATTACAAGCCTTTGCCAACTGGTACAACAACAGGCGTCAATCTTACCCACATTCCTGGTATTGTCAGTACTTTTGTTGAGGAAACGCCCAACAAATTATTCATTGGCAGTTTACCTAACCATCTTAACGATGATCAGGTGAAAGAGTTGCTCACTAGTTTTGGACAACTCAAATCATTCACTTTGGTAAAGGATAGCGGTACAGGAGAATCTAAAGGGTATGCTTTTTGTGAATATATTGATCCTAAAAACACTGAACAGGCTATTGAAGGCCTCAATGGTATGTCACTTGGTGAGAAAAAGCTTATTGTCAATCGGGCAGGTTCAGGAAACAAAAATTCAGCTGCGGCTGGTCTGCCTCTACCAATTACAGGTATGGACATTGTCTCGTCTCTCAATGAAGCAACTGAAGTTTTGTGTCTGATGAACATGATCTCTTTGGATGACTTACTCGATGATGATGAGTATGCCGATATTATTGAAGATGTCAGAGAGGAGTGCGGAAAGTATGGGCGTGTAAGAAATGTGGTAATTCCTCGTCCAATTGAAGGTCAGGCTGTCCCTGGACAGGGAAAAATTTACTGCGAGTTTGCCGGACCAGACGATTGTAAGAAGGCAGCCGGTGCTTTGGCTGGAAGAAAGTTCGCTAATCGGGTTGTCGTTACGTCCTACTACAATCTAGACAAATTTCGAAAGAGAGACTTCTGATTCAGAAAATTTTTGTCCAACTCGACAAAACGAGCTAAATTTATTTTTATCCCACTTTTATTACTTATTTTTATCCTCAGCTAGCCCTGAAGTATGCTGATGCAGTATTTATTTGATCGATACTCAAAAAATTCAGTAATGTGTGCTCTCCCGTTAGTTGACTGCTTATTAATTGCTTATTAGAACAATTTATGTCTTTATGATCATAATCTTTTAGTGTTCATTGTGTTATGGAAATTTCGCATGTCTGAAAACTCAATCAAACTATTTAGCCTTATCAAATACAAACTTCCTACTTTATTAAGTAGCCATATTATAATAAAAAGTTTTACCTGTAACAATTTAATATTATCGAACACATACCATCTCTAGCTAAGGGCCCATAGTTTGAAGTAGAATGGCTGAAAACGACCTCGGCGACTTTTTTGCCAAGAAAGACAAGAGGAAGAAGAAGAAGAAGCAGCAAGGAACTAAAGTGACCAGTGCGACTTTGATAGAACAATTGATATCCGACACTGGCAAAACTGAGGAACAACCTCAACAACAGTTCACTGAGAAAGCTCACATAGCTAGACCAGTAAGTAAACATATTATATCTCATTGACCACATATTAAACGTTTTCTCTTGGCAAGTTACAACGAATAATCCAAGTTTCCAAAAGCAGCCAATCAAATGTCTCGAATCAATGTCACGTGACAATTATTGGGCACCTCTCCAGTCCCCAACAGTATGTAAATCTATGAACCATGTAACCTGTTAATAATTTTGTTCATTTAAATCTCAAACCTGTTACCAGATGTACAGATACTTGTACTCGCTATTTACAGGATGATAACGAATGGGTGGAAATAAATGACGACCATTTAGCTGAGGGGCTCTCAGACCTGAAAATAAAATCTCTTGATGCCAAGTAAGTGACGTAAATATAATAATAGTACAAGAAATATTACGAGCTGACTAATGACTTGAAATAACTATTGCTGTAATATCCAGAGTTATTGTAATCTGATACCACCAATTTGCCCATTTACTAGTGACTAAACGTGTGCAGTAAAAGGAACAACTTCTTTTCAGGGAAGAGGAAGAAGAAGCGATAAGACAAGAGCAAGAAGCTCAAGACTATGAATCTGAAGATGAGAATGGAGAGAAAGACAAGGGTCCTTGGGCCCCGTTGTCCTCATCGCCCCCTAAAACATTTTCTTCAATAAATAAGCCTAAAGCTAATGGTAACATTCCTTATTCTCATTACCTATTTTTTGCTCATTGTATTTTACTGATGTTGTTTTGTAGCTTTATATCGTGTTAGTACTGGACACCGGCAGACGGTTTGTTCTAGAAGGCATAAACTTATTTCTTTGTTTCAGTTCCCTCCATACCTTCTTCACTTGTGTCAGCGGGCGGGAAATACATTCCTCCCGGTCAGCGGGCTGGTGGACCGGCAGTATCGAATAGCAGATCGCGCGGAAGAGAGCAGATCAATGTTAATAGCGTGGTAAGTTCGTGATCAATAAACTGGTACAATGAACCACAATCCGTACGTTTCACGGGGCGGTCACAGCCATGTTGTTTAGTTTTTGGAAGGCGCGTCGACATTTGTTTGGTGCAATCATATTTCTTAGCCATTATACTTTTTCGCAATTTCGCGCGCGCGTCCGTGCGCGACTATTCTCCGTCATCGCTTGCCGAGACAGGAAGCTGTAGAAAAATTCCTCTCATTTCTCACCATTAGCATACCTTCTTATTTTCGGTTTGAAAGGGACTCGATGCTAATAGCTATCAATCATACCAGATCTGAAAGACTAACATTATGTTTTCGCAGGATCAGTTCCCGGGTCTTCATGCGCAGTCGAACAACCAACCCAAGTAAGAATCATGATTCATGGAGCCGTACTATCAATTTACTTTCAATGAAAAGTCAGTTCCTAATACTACTAAAATATGAATAAGCCTTTGAAACTGCGGTTTATCTAAAAATTCTTGTTTTCAGAGAAAAGCATGACCCAACATTTGACATGGCTAAGGGCGGCGGCAAAAGAATACAGAAACAGGCTAGACCGGAGCAAATGCAACTGAACAACAAGTTCCAAGTTTTAGAATCATAATCTGTTCCATTTTTATTATTTATTGCTTGGTATGTGTGGGTTCATTGGAACACTGATGGTAGCGTTGATTTTACATCGTTTATTCTTCCTTGAAGGGTGTACCTGTGTTTTTGGTAATCGAGCCATTTTGTACTACTAAAACTGAGATTATGTTTCAAACAAATCTTTACCAGGCATTGATAGAACTTTCTAGTATAGGAGGTGGTTCAGCTAAATTTGATTTACGAACGAATTTGACTGAACCCCTTCCACTTTATAGCCAATGGTGGCTGATCCTTAGAAAGTGTATGCATCTAAAGATTTGGTATTTGTACACGGAAGATTTTATTTTTCGTGTATTTAATTAGTTGTTGGAGTGTAGTTCATCGTTCAGGATCAGTTGACTGAGCAAATTTCTAAATTGCATCCTATTTTACTGAACAATGAAATCCGACAATTCAATCTTTTTGTGTGAATTTGTTCGGCATCTTGACCACAAAATAAATATTGTCTAATAAAAACAGTATACAAATTGGGTTAATTTTTCCAAAGTCAATTTAACTGTAAAATGATTAAAATATGGGTTTAGATTAAGAATCGGTTCACTCTGAACAATAATGTGAACCAAAAAGTGTTGTCATTTTTTGATGTTCTCCAGAATTTCGATGAGATTGTTGTTTTTATTGTCTTTCGCCACATCGAAACAGTTTCTATTATCGTAGTCTGTAAGTGTGAGGTTTATGTCGTTCTTGGCGAGCCTTGTGATCATATCGTAGTCTGAGTTGTAGGCGGACCAACACAGCAGCGACACCTGAAATAATGTCACAACTTTAAACAGCATTAAAATGTGAGATTGTCTGATTATATCTACAATACTATTCCATGGAGTAACAGATCTGCGAACATTATAATTTAAATCTGTATTATTCATAATCTGGGCTTTCTACACAACTTGAGATCACTATTTTCGATTCATTCGAATTCCCAACCTGGTCCTCGTGTGACATAGAAAGTTTAGCCCCGGAGGTTCGTAAGTGCTCGCTCACTGCATCGTGTCTGTTCTGGCATGCTTCAAGTAGTGGCGAGAATCCAAACCTGTGATCACCATGGTAACAATATGCTTCTTCATGAATTATGCTTCCGATCATCATGTTTCAATTCGGAACAATTAAAAAATGCCAATTTGTTTGCAAAAAAATTCAGGTGGCATGCACTACCGCTGATGGGTTACAGCAGGTCGCAGGCTGCAGGGATCTAGAGACAGAACCCTGGTAATTTACAAAAGCTAATTTTAGAGTGTGTTAGCATAAAGCATATAGGTCTTGTACTAAAGCATATAGATATAGTGAGGCCGAGCGCGAGTTTTTAAAATTGTAGTCTCGGTAGGGAGCATCACGGCTCTCGAGACAGACAAAGTGAAACAAGGCAAATGCCTGGTGATGGAATTACCAGACCATTGATTTGTATAGCGTCAGCATGATGCAGTGAGATCGTGTGTGAAATCCCATGATGCTTTTAGTTTTTGGCAAGCTTTATCTGCAATGGCTCTATGTGAGGGGACAAAGAGAGATCACTTGACACTAGGACGCCTAAATCCCTGAGCTGATGTATTGGCTCGAGTGTAGTGTCTTTGGAAACTGAGTATTGAGAATGTTCAACAACAAATGGAAGCTCAGATAGTACATATTGTTGGTTGAATTTGTGACACATGTACTCAAATTTGTCTTTGTGAAGGGCTATATTATTTCTTTCAGACCAATCAATGACATTTTGCATTGATCTCACTTAATCATTCGTTAATTATACGAACTAAAACGAGTAAGTAAGGTGGACCCCAACTTGGCTAAACATACACTCTAGCTTAAAATAATATGCTGCTCTAAAAATAATACATCCAAACACAAGTCACTTCACCAGACCGACTGTAACATATTATTTTAAACTGCCGTGTATGTTTAGCCAAGTTGGGGTCTACCTTACTTCCTTGTTTTAGTTCCTATGATTAATTGAGATCCTTGTACTTAATTGAGACCCTTCTAATTTATAATTAGTAATCTTAGTAAAAGGCCAATGAGTGCCGAAACGTCGATTATTTCAGTTATTTAGAATATATATTCGCATTTATCCACACTATATTTACATTACACGTACAACGTGATATCATTATCAGTGCAGTGTGTACAACACCAACTACACCGATCAATTGCCAAGCATGAAATTGTGCTGTATATGAGTGGTGATTTCGCTCTGAGAATCAGGGTCAGTAGCTCAATTGGTAGAGCAAGAGACGCGAAATCTCGAGGTTCTGGGATCATTCCCCAGTTGTCCCTAGTTTTTCAGAGTTAATCATCACATATAGACAGCATGAGAGTAGGCCTGGCCATCTCGAAGTGATAATAATAATTAAAAAGTCGATTATTTCATTTAGTTTTCACCAGTCATTTGCCTTTAGCACTTCGTCTGCCGAGAGCCATGATGCTCCCTACTGATCGCTAAAGCATAATATAAAGACCGCAAGAATTGGAGGATGGATACTGGTATCCCTGGAATTTACATCACTGGTATAATACTATCATCGATGGTAAATACGTCAAAAAATCGCCTGTAAATACGCCGTATTCAAAAATTCTAAGAAATACGTGAAATACGGCAAAATTTGGCGCTTAAATTCTTTGATGGTAAAATTTTTCAAAATACGCGCGTATCTCTATGGAAATACGTGATTACAGATTAGTGATATTTGCGCGTGCGTCGCTGGCTCAGTGGTATATAGCAATATAACTGACAGTCGTTTTGGAGACTTTACGGTGCTCGAATGAAAACGCTGCAGCGACTTTCTATTCTTATGCTGAACCAACCAATCAGTCAGTCTGCTGCAAAGCAGAGCTTCTAAGGGTATAAAGCAGTTATGCCTCCCTCGAGGAATAGACTTTCAACCGAGACCCAGTTCCAGTGCATTTTTATCTATTACAATATTCGCAGACTAAGATCACAAGTCTCTCTTGCTTGAATTTTGAAACCGGTTACCGGATTAACACGGACTTCCCAGTGGCATAAATTTAAAAAGTGACTAGGAATCCAGCCTGGAAAGAAAAAACGGCTATAATAAATTTTTAAAACGGCTATAATAATTTTTTCGGCCGGAAGACGATTTCATTTCACCTTGCTAGTTATATTACAGAGGTATTTTTAGTTATTCATTAGTTATTCATAATTGCCAAAAGTATGGGAAAAAATGATCCTATCCAAGTCTCGAACTCTCTATCTGATGATATGGAGCTAGCGTATTAACCAATTAGGCCACGATTCCATATACTGTAATGTAATATTTATATATATATGTTCGCGCGTTACTGCAACTTAATTTGAAATACGTAATTTATCATCGGGAAATACGTATGCGTAGTATCTACGCGTAGTCTCCCCAAAACGCATTTACCATCCTTGAATACTATACAATCATAAAGTTATGGAACGTGTTATATTCTACCTGTCGATGGCGTTTACATCTGATTTGCTCCACACCAGAGTTTTCACCGTCTCCAGGTCTCCGAGAGCAGCAGCTATGTGTAGAGGTGTCCTGTTGTCATGGTCACCGATCTGGATTGAACTGGGTTATAATCGGATGCACTGATACTTAATAATAGTGATTCGATTAAATGAAATGTACATCTCATGCACGGTATAATGGACGACACTTACATTAAAGTCCACATTTTCCTTCAGTAGCTCGTACATCAGGCTGTGATTCTTACTGTACACCACTTCACAGAGCAGAGAGGGAAGGAGCGCCGCTCTGAGTTTCTCATCGTCCTGTCTCAGAATCTGTTTCACCACTGCCGCTATGATAGCTGAGTCTATTTGGAATGATGGCTTGCTCCCCTGGGACTGTTCCCTCGCATATTCTTCTGTTTTAACTGATAGTAATCGGTAGTTTCAAGAATAGATGGGGTGACCCTGGCTAATAGCAAGTCGGTGTTTTATTTTCACCTGTGGTATGGTCCTTTCCATATTATAGATGTTATCACAGCACAGTCGGATATAGAAAGTAACTTGCCGTTAACAGAAGTAGAGATATCGTAAGGAAGAGGTTTAGCGTTGTAACTTGCCGTTATTGTTAACAGAAGTAGATATATCGTAAGGAAGAGGTTTAGCGTTGTAACTTACCGTTAACAGAAGTAGATATATCGTAAGGAAGAGGTTTAGCGTTGTAACTTACCGTTAACAGAAGTAGAGATATCGTAAGGAAGAGGTTTAGCGTTGTAACTTACCGTTAACAGAAGTAGAGATATCGTAAGGAAGAGGTTTAGCGTTGTAACTTACCGTTAACAGAAGTAGAGATATCGTAAGGAAGAGGTTTAGCGTTGTAACTTACCGTTAACAGAAGTAGAGATATCGTAAGGAAGAGGTTTAGCGTTGTAACTTACCGTTAACAGAAGTAGAGATATCGTAAGGAAGAGGTTTAGCGTTGTAACTTACCGTTAACAGAAGTAGAGATATCGTAAGGAAGAGGTTTAACGTTGTAACTTACCGTTAACAGAAGTAGATATATCGTAAGGAAGAGGTTAAGCGTTGTAACTTACCGTTAACAGAAGTAGAGATATCGTAAGGAAGAGGTTTAGCGTTGTAACTTACCGTTAACAGAAGTAGAGATATCGTAAGGAAGAGGTTTAGCGTTGTAACTTACCGTTAACAGAAGTAGAGATATCGTATGGAAGAGGTTTAACGTTGTAACTTACCGTTAACAGAAGTAGAGATATCGTAAGGAAGAGGTTTAGCGTTGTAACTTACCGTTAACAGAAGTAGAGATATTGTAAGGAAGAGGTTTAACGTTGTAACTTACCGTTAACAGAAGTAGATATATCGTAAGGAAGAGGTTAAGCGTTGTAACTTACCGTTAACAGAAGTAGAGATATCGTAAGGAAGAGGTTTAGCGTTGTAACTTACCGTTAACAGAAGTAGAGATATCGTAAGGAAGAGGTTTAGCGTTGTAACTTACCGTTAACAGAAGTAGAGATATCGTAAGGAAGAGGTTAAGCGTTGTAACTTACCGTTAACAGAAGTAGAGATATCGTAAGGAAGAGGGTTAGCGTTGTAACTTACCGTTAACAGAAGTAGAGATATCGTAAGGAAGAGGTTTAGCGTTGTTCATGTTCGTTATTACTCCGACTCCTTCACACTCTGACGGTTTGTTTCCCCACTTATCTGCAGAAAACGGCAATAACAATGATTATAATAAGACAGTATTATATCATGATGTGTGAGCACATTTTATAATGTGAGAAGGGTTTCAAATGCTCAATCTGAATGATAAGTTCTACATGGAACCTATTTGGTTGTCCAAAGAATTGTACTCCTCCAAGAGGGCCACAATTTCAGTTCGGTTGTTAGCATATGCTATGTGAAGCGGTGTTCTCATGTCGTAATCCTTGCAGTTTGGGTCAACTCCACATTCCAGCCAAAACTGAGGATTGTGGGGTTTTTAAAAGAACAAATATAAGTTAAACTACTAACCTTGTCTACTATTACTATTAGATGGATTCGTTGAAATATCTTCATCTTGAACGCTAGCATGATCAATATCTATAAAAAGCAGACCTGAAGTTTTTGCAGCTCATTCCGTTTGACCATATAGCAGAGTATGCTGGCCAGTGTATTTTGTCCCAGCAACACTTTACCGCCATGTTTGTAAAGGTATTTAGCCAGTTCATAGTGCTCCCCTTTCAGAGCCTCGAACAGTGGAGTGTGGTGGTAGTTATCTGTCTCATTCACCTCGGCGTTGTGTCTGAACGATACTAGGTTTAACATACCTCGATTGGTTTAATACGTGAACTTCCGTGTACAGTTCTGCTTCATTTGTCAAGAATAAAAATAGTCGGCGATCTTAGGCTTACATGAAGAGGAGTTTTGCTATCTCTTTTCTGTTTTCACTAGCAGCAAGGTGAAGTGCACATCTTCCGTCGTAATCACTTAGATTTGGATCCGCTCCCAGGTCCAGCAGATCTCTTATCCGTCCTAAAATTGTATCCTTAGTATTCTTATTTCATTTCTTGAACGTTATCCTAGATTAGCGATATGTTGTGAAAAATAAATCATGTTCAACTATCATTTTCTAGTAATAACTCACGTGTATAGCCAAGTTTGGCATATGAGCACAGCAATATCGGCAGTAAAGAGCACTCAATATTCTTGAACTTGTTCGGGTCTAGATTCCGGTATTCCTTGGAGATCTTGAGGTCTCTGACTATCTGTCGAGATAATATGTATCTCCTGAGATGATCTTCTGGTACTGTCATGGATATCAGCTCCACTGGGATCAGCTTTTCAAACGTCCCTGCAAGGGTTATCAGGGCATGTCACAATGTAAGCGATTATAGCTGCGTTTACCATCATGTTTAACAATTTCACAATGTTAAATTCTATGTATAACTAGAAACTGCACAGTACATTATAGTGGGTGTAATTTGACATTACTTAGCTGACTTACCTGCTGTCATGTAAACAGCTATAGAGACAAAGTAACAGCTGATAGCTAGAGAGTGGTTTGCTACAATATCAAACAGCTCCGACAGACCCATAGCCATGAAACTTGTACAGAACACTGCTAACACGCCTACTACCACTGAAATATATAGTTCCATGGTGTCGATCAAACTTCATGACGTGAATTATGTTTCTGAAATTTCAGCCAGAATTTGAACAACAATTTAGTCTGTCCTATTTCAAGTCTCTGTTACCTGAGTAAAGGTTAAGTACGAAGAAGTTTCCCGTAACACTAGAAAGAGTAATGGCTCCCTGTAGAGCGTATATCTTCAAACTAACATCACTCCACACTGGAGACATGAAGATAGCAGAGACGACTCCCAACACAGAGCCCAGCCAGGTGGTTACCAGCATGATGGGGGAGGTAACGAGGAGCCCGATAGAGAGAGGTAACGCTGACCAGTAGGAGTAGGAGAACATTAAACTGGACATCCCGTACAGTATCTCGTAACCTACTATTGTCCTGGAGGGTAAATGTTTTGTTTGGGAATTGGGGAGGCGTATTATCGTAGCGAAGTACTGTACACTGTACAGGTACTGTGAATCATGAACGTACCATTAACACACCATGTTTGTATCGACTATGTGTACAAGCAGATATGTCCTGTAAGGTGGTACCGAGTTTGATTTGTGACGATAAAGGTGGCTTTCGTGATGAAGCTGTTTAAAGTAAATATAAAATGCATATTTGTCTGATGAAAGGTTTAGAATTGTGCAGCTAAACTTAATTGATTGTTTACCCGTTCTCCTTGAACCACTCCTGTTGAGGTCCTGGTACCTCTTGAAGGAAAGGAGGACCCAGGTAAAACCACGTACTCTTCTGTTTCATCCACACGTACAGATAACCCGTTATACAGGAGGATATCCCCATAGGAGTCACATTCAGTCTGAAGTAATTTACTCTTAAATAATTATGTTTCTTCCTTGTAGTGTTCAGTACTCAGTAGGGAGCATTACGGCTCAGAAAATAATTATCTCTAAACGCAATTTCTGTAGAAAACCCAGATTGTGAATTTATTATGCAGAATTTAATTATATTGTTCACAGTTCTGCTACTTCATGGAATGGTATTGTACATATAATCATTGTTGAATAGGGAGCATCACGGCTCTCGGCAGACAAAGTGAAACAATTATTAGGCAAATGACTAGTGAAAACTAAATGAAATAATCGACGTTTCGGCACTCATTGGCCTTTTACTAAGATTACTGATTATAAGTTACAAGGGTCTCACTTAAGTACAAGGATCTCACTTAATTATAGGAACTAAAACAAGTATTGTAAGGTAGACCCCAACTTGGCTAAACATACACTACAACTTGGCTAAACATACACGGTAGTATTTCTTCCCACAAGAGCTTACAGTGCAGTGGGAGAAACGGGCGTTAGATATTGATATGTAAACAGATATTTTGGCAATGTTTTGTTTACTTACGTTTTGACAAAGAAAGAGCAGAGAGCCTGGAATATAAGAAGGTTGAAGAACTGGAGAGGAATAAGTATTAGTATCTGCGAGAGCAAAACATCGTATTGTTCTTCCAGAGAGTTAGTCAGATACACCCATAGCCCCAGAAATATACCTGGCAGAACATAAGTTAACAACAGCTAAGATTAAAATAGCGATGGAACCGGAACATATCATGAGCTTGTTTTAAATGAGCACTGACCAGAATCCAACAGAGAGAAAGGTAGAAAAGTATTTGCAAGCTGAGCTGAGAGCCTAACCTTGAACTGGATAAAGTCCACTGTATATAAGCTCCTTGGGGACACCTAGAAACCAACTCCAGAACATCACTAATAGCACACTCCAGCTCATATACAACACATTATACCTGGATCGATATGCTAAATTATACATGTTATGTGCATCTTTGATCTTGAGTATAATAATGAAAATTATGATGAAAAACTCCGAAATTTGGGATTCCAACTTGAGTTAAATTTACTTTAAAGTTGAAATTTATTCACGAAAATGATGAATCATAAAGTGGACCCTACCAATTATCAAGAGCAGAAGCTATCATGACACATAGCCCTAGAAATGGGTTACTGATTCCCATCCACATACCCAACGACCTCCAAAATGACAAAACCACTGAAATAGATGTTCCATGCAGTCGAAAATGGTATGATCGATATTTTAATAATTTGATGAATTCAAAAAATGCTACATGAACATCATGATCAACAAAAGTAAAAGAAAAAAAGTGTTAATTGTTAATCCGGTATGATTTCTATTTTATTTCCATAGGTTGTCTACATTGTTTTGTATTACATACAGATGTTATCGTGGAGTAGTACTAGTTAATTTCCAGCACCTTTTGACAGTCGATGTGGTGAAAAACATGCAACCTGGAATACGAAGGTGATCGCAGTCCTTAAAGAAGACTTAAAGGTCTTCATTTTCCTATAATTTATTATACAGAACGATAAATTGTAAACCACAGAATTTTCCAGTATCGTTGTGAATTATTACACTTACTGATATGACCACTTCTGTACTTTATCACTGTATTTAGAAAATATGTAGTACGACCCCCAGTAGCAATCAATCTGTACTTCATCGCAATTTACAAGTAAAACAATTTTATACTTGAATAGAATCAAAAACATCAATAACAGTCGCGAAAATTATTTCTATTTTCTTGATCTACCCCTCGAACTTTTCTTTCCTTTCTTATCACAGTCAGGTTTGTCACCTTTTTTGCCCTTTTTACCTGGTCCATGATTTTTACTGTCTCTCATCCCTTCACCTTGGTATTCAATCTGGTAACCATCTTGGTATATTTGTCCACCTCTCATTTCTCTATCTTGATCCAGTTCGCCACTTCTATCATGATCCGGTTTGCCACCTTTTTTCCCTCTTTTGGCTGGTCCGTGATTTTTGCCATTTCTCATTCTTTCATCTTGGCCCCATTCGTGGCCGTGAATTTGGTCGGTGTTTCCAGGTTCTTTGTTTAGATCTTTTCCAGGACAGCATTCCGTTTTGCAATTTTTCTTTAGGAGTGTACTACACTCTAAGGTCCCACATTCTGCCGTTGCCATACAGGTCTTCATGCATTCTTTGTCCTTTTTTGATTCTTCAATCTGGTAACCATCTTGGTCCATTTGTCCACCTCTCATTTCTCTATCTTGGTTCAGTTCGCCACTTTTGTCATGGTCCAGTTTGCCACCCTTTTTCCCCCTTTTTCCTGGTCCGTGATTTTTGCCACCTTTCATCCCATCATCTCGGCCCCGTTTGCGGCTGCGAATCTGGTCCTTTTTTCCAGGTTTCTTGTTTAGATCTTTTCCAGGACAGCATTCCGTTTTGCAATTTTCTTCAGGAGTGTAGTACATTCTAATGTCTCACATTCTGCCGCTGCCATACAGGTCTTCATGCATTCTTTGTCCTTTTTTGATTCTCCAATCTGATCACCACCAAGTACTTCATCATCTTCTATTTCCATGGGGTGATCTTGAGGCGGAAGATGTACTGGGTTGATATTTTGAAATGCGCTGCTAGTGCCAAGATTGGCAAGGAAAAGTGCGAGAACTGCAACGAAAAGTACCATGCTTCGACACAAAGTAGACAATAAGTGTGCTAGCAAACTTTATGAATTCAAAACCAAAAATAATGAAAAGCTCATCTGCAAACTTGCTTTATAAAAGGTCCGATTAGAACTTATCAGTTATCATTATTTTCATCTTTGTTTGTAAATTTTTGGGGAGTGGCCTCCATTAGCCTAGTATTTCTAATGGTGATTCAAACCATTTTCGCCCCTATTAATATTTGGCTCCTTCAATCGTCACCAAAATGCATGAATTTATATTTGAATGCAAGATATCACATCTTCAATCTTGCAATAAAATGCTTTAATTGATGAATTGTTTACTTGCGAAACTCGTGACAGGCAAACCTTAAAGATGTTAAGGTGTTACTTAACAATCCTATACGTAATACGTTTGTTCAACGTATCATACATATTCATTTATTTAAAATGTTATTTTGATCATTGACGTTCGAACACCGTCACAAGGCCTACTTAATATCATAAGTGTGACGCCACATTGGGCGGACGCCACACCCAATCAACATCATAAGTGTGCGTTAAGTGAAAACACGTACCTCTCACGTACCTTACCACAGACCCCACCACAGACCTCACCACAGACCTCACCATAGACCTCACCACAGACCCCACCACAGTCCTCACCACCGACCCCACCACTGACCTCACCACAGACCCCACCACAGTCTTCACCACAGACCCCACCATAGATCTCACCACATACCTCACCACAGACCCCACCACAGACCTCACCACCAACCCCACCACCGACCCCACCACTGACCTCACCACAGACCCCACCACAAACCTCACCACATACCTCAGACCTCGACTATAGATCTACGAAGCGATTTTGGTAGTTCATGATCGATGAAACGTTAGTACACTAACGCACGTTGGTTCTGATAAAATAGCCACCATGGTTCATATTTGAAATTTGTAACTTTGCAGATGGCAAACTGTTAAACTACTCGAATTCGATCGAGGACCCTGTCGCCAAAATTGTACACACCCAATTTGCATTGAATTGCTTATACTCATGTTTGCGAATATTCTAGAAACTCCATTTTAACAAGTTATAATAGGTAAATGTGAAATATGATCTGAATAAATTACGCGAGACAGATTTGAAATGACGATCATGTTATCAGACAATTTGTTTTTCTCGTTAGCAAAATTTAAGGGATATTTACTAATCATGTCATATTATTCCACGTGATAAATAACCCTATCATGCTTGATATATTGGTCAACTGAGCTGAGTAACTAAAAGAACTCTCATTTTACAGGACAAGTATATTTTAGGAGAACAAACACAAAGCATTACAATTTGACTCAATCCAATCATTAAAATATCTTAAAAACGCGAAGATGAACTGAGTGGAGTTGGGTTAAAAACATATAAGAGATACGATGATTTAACTTGTAGAAGCTTTCAATAAACATGTGTTAATCGTCGTCAGCGAGACAGATTTGAAATGACGATCATGTTATCAGACAATTTGTTTTTCTCGTTAGCAAAATTTAAGGGATATTTACTAATCATGTCATATTATTCCACGTAATAAATAACCCTATCATGCTTGATATATTGGTCAACTGAGCTGAGTAACTAAAAGAACTCTCATTTTACAGGACAAGTATATTTTAGGAGAACAAACACAAAGCATTACAATTTGACTCGATCCAATCATTAAAATATCTTAAAAACGCGAAGATGAACGTTTTTTGAGAACTTCAATCTTCAGGATAATCTACTTTTTTATCTATTTTCAATTTTGAGGATTATCGTCGATTCTTCATGCCCACGCCCACAACATTTTTACATACCTAAAAGTGGGGTATAATTCTGGCACATTGAATGAAGATCTGGCATCGTGCCCATGAGATATCGCCAAGTTGGCTTTTTTATCTTCTTGAAGTCTTTAAACTCAAAGTGTGCATTCCATGGACTAATCTCAGTGTTATCCGTAAACAGTTCCCTTTCTTTCTTGTTCAAATTACCTGGCCTGAACAGGGTTGAACATTTAATACTATAGGAGGCGAATATGGTCCGAATAAAATAACAGAGTACGCGATCAATCTGTTTAAATTTAGAAAAACTCCGTTAACTAATAATAATAACTCACATAAGTTTAAAAGGTGCATCACGGAGAGCCTGTCCCAGATCGGCTACACTAAACCGCCTGTTAAGTTGTTTCCTGACCACTTCAGGCCTTTTTATCTCTCTGAGTGGTATGACAACGTCCGAGCTCTCAGGAAAAACTTCATCGCGGGGAGTAGGGCCCATGGGACAAAAATTGCGATCCCTACTTTTAGACAAGTGTTAGCAAATTAAATTCATTATTATTTTCTAATTGGAACCGTATCACTTTCATTCTAGCAAACGAGTGCTATGAAGTCAGATCAGAGGGCTTATGTCTGCAGGTGGTCCGCATACCACAGAATGAGAAAGAAATTACTGAAACTAAAATTAATTATCAACTATTAAATCTATTAAAAGACAAAGTTTTTATCGTTGGCCGTCAAACATCAAAGCAACAAAGTAAGCTTGGCAGAGCCAAAAGGTATCATTCAAGAAAACGGATTGTACGAAAACAAAATATTTGAGAATAGGAATAGGATGCTAATAGTATTACCAGGGAGCAATCCTTCTTGTAATTTTGAGAAGAATCGGAAGGAAGCAAACAAAACAAAATGTTCATCAAAGTGTGAAACCAAAGGAGGATATTCAAAACTGATATGAAGTAGGATTATAGGATGCTGATTTAGGTGGGAACTTTTTGTTTTACCATTGTCTGATTGTTTAATGTTCATCTTTCAGTCTAAAAAACACATCCCACATGCAGACTCAAGTATGAAGTAGTGATCAGCTCCCTCTTTGGCAAAATATTTAGGAACTAGGAAGTGTGCAGTGTGCACTGTGCACCCCACTGTAGGAAATTATGTAGGCCAGAAAAAGCCCCTTAATTTCGGTAGGATCACTGGATCAGGAGTATTCCCTGAAATCTGAATATTTTGAAATCTTGCCCTACTATATTATATTGTATACCCAATCAATGACTCTTGATCTTTCCAGATTCAATCTCAGTACCAGTATTAGAACTGAAAAGTGACACCTTGTTACAAGTTAGATTGGAGCCGATTGTGGTAAAACCTTTTATGGTAAATAGAAGCATAGGCAATCGGTTCAACAGCTATGAATTCCAATCTAAACTAAAGCACGTGTTATACCATCACGATCAACAGTTATAATACTCATTTTGGGGCTTTATCGAGTCAAGAGTTTAATCTTGACTGATTTCATCAGCTTTAGTACATTCTGAAGACAAGAAACAGGCCGCTACTGAGCGATAAACAACCATATCTGACATCAATTTGCTAATAATCACACGTGTGGTTATCGTGTTCAACACCAAGTCTCAGTAGAAATAACAAAGCAATTTGTTCAATATGGGGGGGGGGGGGGGGGGGGGGGGGGGCCAATATGAAGGTAGGACAATATACAGATACTCATGAATAATGAATGGTTATTGGTTGTACAACTACAACTCATATCAATACATACACACTGTCACATCGGTAAACAGTGAGGGGATGAAGCCACATTTGTAACGATGCAGGGGGCGCCGAAAAAGCGCCCCTCCCCTTTTGGCGCCCCTCCCTAAAATTGAACAAATTAGGTGTGTTTCTAGAGCAAAACGCGCAGTTTTGCTAGTACCTCAGTTACGTTTAAAAAAATTGTCCCACATTCAAACGACGATTTGGCGCCCCCTTAAATGTGAATTGTGAGAATGTTGTACAATTCTTCGAAAATAGTAATACTCGAAATTTGGGTAGTGAGCTAGTAATAATATATGGTATTACCTGATTAGAACCTGTAAGACTCGCCATTTTTGAGATTCAAGCAAATCTGAAATCGAGGATGTTCAAAGGGTCAGGGTCAGGGTCAGGGTCAGGGTCAGGGTCAGGGTCAGGGTCAGGGTCAGGGTCAGGGTCAGGGTCAGGGTCAGGGTCAGGGTCAGGGTCAGGGTCAGGGTCAGGGTCAGGGTCAGGGTCAGGGTCAGGGTCAGGGTCAGGGTCAGGGTCAGGGTCAGGGTCAGGGTCAGGGTCAGGGTCAGGGTCAGGGTCAGGGTCAGGGTCAGGGTCAGGGTCAGGGTCAGGGTCAGGGTCAGGGTCAGGGTCAGGGTCAGGGTCAGGGTCAGGGTCAGGGTCAGGGTCAGGGTCAGGGTCAGGGTCAGGGTCAGGGTCAGGGTCAGGGTCAGGGTTAATTGTATTAAATTATATTGCCGGGGGGTCAATTGTGGGGGGGGGGTCAATTGTCGCCCATCCCCCCGGCCCCCACCTTAATCCAGTTCCTACACGTAATTAAAGCAGCTCAAGCTCACACAGAACGAGAGTAAACAAAGTGAACACTGATCGTGCTACATTCAGTCATTCACATTCCTTAAAGTGAGCTCACTTTACTCTCGTTCTGTACCGTTGTATTCTAGCGCTTGCCAAGGTGTGCTTTTGTGAATAACGTGTAATGTGTAGACACGAACCAAACATATGTTTCCGTACTCCGTAGATAAGCAGTCTTATCTTCCAATTAATCACTAAGCTTCAGAGCTGTTACAAATTTCCGCGATTGTTGTCGACTGTGGGTCGTGTTTTTAGAGTATAGTAGTAGCTCAAGCTGTGCAATTATTAGTGACGACAACATGGTCATCCTTCCTATTTACAATAGTGACGGCGAAGAAGATACCTTATCGGACCTTATTTGGACGGACATTACTTGAAGGCTGGAGGCCCTAGCGTTCATTTTAATGTCCGTTCAAATAAAGTCCGTTCAATTAATGTCCGTCCAAGTTGAAGTCCGTTGAAATTTTTTCAAAAGTTTTCCATTTCTAACTTTTTGTCCAGAATATGACAACTATGAGAACTTTATTGTGCCGTAAGTTAACGACAGAAAGGTTCTCCTTGGTCTGCCGGAGGCACAGAAAATTCTACTAAAGTATATGATGTTTTCAAGGGTCACTTGGCAGAAAAAGTCAACGAAATTATAGCACTCAACAACATAGTTCATGAGCTAGTCCCCGCCAACATGACAAACTTGTTCCATCCTCTAGATATTACGTTAAATCGTGTTGCCAAGGAAATTGTCCGACGTTGTTATAGTTCATATTACTCAGGGGAGATAATGAAACAGTGCTAGGAAAGCTCAACGTGATGTTAAGGTTAACCTAAAGTTGTCTAAGATAAAACCACTTCACACCGAATGGCTTGTAAAAGTTTACACTGAAATGCAGGACCGGGGTATTTTGATAAAAAAAGGTTTCCATAAAGCTAGAAATCACTGATGCTTTAAGTTTAAGCATGGACTATTTCATGCACGAAAACCCATTTGATGAAGATGATATGTGATATTAGACACTGATCATGTACATTGTACACATATTTTAACATTTTTACTGCTTAATGACTGCTTTTCTTACTTACTGTATAAAAAATGGATTTAAAAATCATTTGCTGAAATAAAAAAATTTAAAAAAAATTGAAAAAAATTCGGATTTTTGATGGTTTTGAATGCCTTCGAGCGTTCATATTAATGTCCGTTCATAATAATGTCCGTTCATGTTATGTCCGTCCAAATAAGGTCCGATAAGGTAAAATGATAGATAGCGCATTTTTTGCAAAAATTACGCTAGACAGATTGTCAAAATCGGTTAACGAATGGTGTACTTGTAATAACTTAATAAGTGCAAAATGATGAGTATTAAGAGAGAGTCGGTTTGTTGCAGTGATTCCTTGACTATACAACAACACAGGGGTTCGCTGGAATGTGCCACAGAAATAGAAATGTTTCAGCAGATGGTTTTATCTGAACAAGGATTTAGATGTTCAGGATACCTGATTAGTTTCACCATCAATGATGCTGTAATACGGGAAGATTATCTAAAAGCACATTTGACACACAAAAATTGGAGACATTTAGCTTACAAATCATTTGTACATTTTAACACTGTTTCTATTGCGGTGTCTGACAGATAGCCGCAATCCAACAAATTAGAGCGATCTTCCTGATTTAACGCGACATAATGAAGTTACGAATGGTGGAATTTCCAGCCCTATACTTATATCAGTGTTTGTGAAATGTTTTGACGATTAAGTCGGGGACACTTCACAATCCCTTTAAAACGTATAAGATCGAGGCATATACTACCTCACCTCAACAAAGGTCATAATCATAAAGAAAGTTAAATCCAAAAAAATGTCTGGAATGGGCCATATACAATGTATATTATACATATAATAGAACTTTGTTGGTTAATTTATTGATAGCAATTATTATTAAAGCATGTTTATGGTAGAGATTTAAGATAGAGTTGTTTAAACAAAGACTATTATACGAATATTCGAATATTTGTTATTATTAACAGGATCATACAGTATGTAAATAGAATCTACCGTGGTAAAAACATTTTCACAGTTCACACCGTATAAGATCATCCATCAATAATTTAAGGAGACTTTTACCAGGACAATTTACTTTAATCTTATCAGGAAAATTTACTTTAATTTACTGTTGCTGCGAAGTATCTAGATTCTAGACTGCTTTTAACCTCCTTAGCTGATATAATAAGCGGTTCTAAGCATACCTATTCTCTGCTTGGCCGCCAGCACGGTGCTAAGCAACCAGTACCATAGAGTCATGCTGACTCTAATGGTCAGTTACTTTAGCTACCAGCTGACGGACCCCGTTTTTATTCTATCAGATAATGCTGATGACTATAGGGGGAGATGTTCCAATACCGCTCACCCCGATCCTTCTAGATTCACTAAGGTCTCTCATAGGTCGTTTTGTAATAATGACTTGCACTCTGTATAAAAGATTCCCGTAACCCATTTAATACACAGGACATAACGTTCACACTCCACATGAACCATTATATCCATCTCAAGAAGTCAAGATAGGTCCTCCTCAGTCCTCACCCTCCCCCAATAAATAAGAAGAGGAGAACTCTCAACATACAGGAACTTCATACTCTTCGGCCCGTGGAGGGGCCCAGGTTTTTCCCTCCTTTCTATTATCTATAAACTTTTATTATATTTTCTATTGTTTACATATTGTTATTTTATATACTTAGTCGGTTCAGTGTGTTTTGGTCCGGGCTTTACCTGCTGGCCCTGCCATGGCTTTCTAGCTTGGGCAGGTTTGACTTACAAATATATACCAGGACAACCTAAACGACCTTTTACATTATATATATATACAGGGTGGGCCAAAAGTCAGTACCCATACGTTGGCCTTTATAGCTCAGTCAC